ATTGGACAACACCTAACGATGTTTTCTGCCGGACGCCCATATGCTACTTATGCAGATAGCAGCGCAACTTATTTCAAGATGTTGTTCTTTGATTCAAATTATTTTTATCAAAAAAGACACTTGAAACAATGGACTGCATGGTCGGAAAATATTTAGATATTTTGGCCCTTGCGGACAGTGTCCGAAGCAAAGTAAAAAAAAACAAACCTTATTTACGTATTTCCTGATCATGCAGCCCATTGTTTTGGGTGTGATATTTTGAGTGGCTGGAAAATGTGTATTTTTTCTCCGGCACAAGGGTAAATACAATTTTAATTAGCGGCAAAGTTCCTATTTTCTTAAGCGACACTACAAACGGTGACTCCTGTATTGGCTGGGCCATATTAATAAATTTTACTGTCGTTATCATAATGGCACCATAGTCCGTTCATTAAGTAGAAAAAGTGAGTAAATAACTTAAGTATACTAAGCACGTGTGATATAGTCATGTGATCACATTCTGTACAAGTTAAATTTCAGTCATCGATTTGATCTAAAAAAAAAATTTTTTCTACTAACGTAAAAAAAATATGGATTCAAAAAAAAGAACTCGACATCAGAAAAAATGTGATAGTAATTATGCAACAGCAGTTACAAAATCAAAATCTTCAAGAAAATCCGATAGATCAAATAATCATAGTTCGCTCAACAATCAAATTCCGTCTCCAACCGTTTCTAATTCTTCAAGCAAAATAACTACCATAACTAAAAATCATCAATCTTCATCAAAATCGGTTAAAACCTCATCGCTTAAAATGTCACAAGTTCTTTTAGGGTTTCCGGATGGAAATATATTACTCGAAGAGGATATTGACCCATATTTAAGTAAAATAGGTGGTATTCCAAATTGGTTAATCAAATCTTATCCGCCTCCACATGATTTTATAATTTGTAAAAATTGTGAAAAAGAAATGTTTTTATTGTTCCAAGGCTATATACCCTTGGAGGAATCGCCTTATGAAAGGATGGTTTATGTTTGGGCTTGTAATCAACAAAAATGTATGAAACGCCCTGGGAGGTATGTTTATTCATTATTGATTAATTATGCTGTTTTTTTTTTTTTTGTTATTAAGCAAATCTTTTGATTTGCATATACAGTTTCAGGGCAATTAGGGCACATAGACTGGATGAAAGTTTTGTGAAAAGTCAAAAGAAAAATAAAAATCATTGTCATAAAGATCAAATAAAATTTGATGTGCAAAACCCTGCCACAATATTTAATGTATGATACCTTTTTTCTTATGAATATTATCATGTTCATAGGTGTATACTAAGGATCATAAAATCGTTTTAGTTGGGAGACACGCTCTTCTCAACACAAAACACATCTTCTGCAGCGAATGGATTGGGTGAAATGCTGTTCGATAATGATAACGATAATGATAACGATAATGATAACGATAATGATAACGATAATGATAACGATAATGATAACGGTAATGATAACGGTAATGATAACGGTACTGATAAGTTGAGTGTAAATATTATAAGCGTTTGACTCTTGTCTGTTTAAATATCAGATGATATTGTAATGCTTCGTATAAGGTGACTCCGTTTAACATTTTATGTTAAATAACATCTTGATTAAAGGCACCTACTTTCGTGTTGCCAAACACACAAGTTACATGTGACCTCAATGTGAATTACTCATCAAATACTCCAACGTGGAGTCAAGTTGTTGCCAGATCAACAATTATAGATGATGTTGATTCCAAGCTTTGTGATGATGTTGCCACGAAACTTGTTATAGGCGATGTATCAGAAACTCATTCAAAATGTAAGCTTTTTTTTTATTCTCCTGGAAAACGAATCTCCTTGCTACACGAGAAGTTTCCATTGATTCCATTCTGGTAACTATTAAAAGTGCCATGGCCAGAAAAAATTCCATTCTTTCCTGCCCAATACCTATACATTACCGAAGAAATCTTGGAAGAAAACCCCGATCCTAATCTAAAGAAATACGAGTGTTATTTGAATGGTTCACTAAATAACAATGATGACGACTCATTTGACTGGATGGATGAAAAATACGAAAAATCTTGTTTACCAAGGGGTGTTGACAAAGCTTTTAGAAAATTTTCAGAGCGTGTGTCTGAATGGCCCGATCAATGCATTAGGTATATGATATTAATGTTAATAAACCTTATTACATAATGCTTGAAACCATTATGCTCACTAATGTAATTATTCTTAAGGTACGAGTTTGATGGACAGCCACTCTTATATAATCAAAGTGACCCAGCAGCTTCATTATTATTATCACCACCGTATGGATCGGTTAAAGGGCTTAAAACAAGTACACAGAGATTACCGAAATGTCCAAAGTGTGGATCTAAAAGAGTTTTTGAATTCCAATTAATGCCAAATATGTTATGTATACTTCAGACTGGTGAATATGCGGCTAATAACTCTGAAAAGAAGAGTGGGATAGAAAATAGTAAATGTGGAATTGCACAATTTGATGTTGGAATGGAATGGGGTACAGTAATGATTTTCACATGCGAAAAAGATTGTGAAAGCTATAATGTTGGTAAGGATGAAGTGTCTTATTACGAAGAATTGGTTTTGGTACAATACGAACTGTAGGAAAACCGAACTGTAGGAAAACTTGAAACTATAACTACAATTATGAGAAAATATATCATTAATCGTAAATGTTTATCAATATCGTTACTTTTTTTAAAATATTGATAGAAAT